GGGGGTCTCTGCTCTGCATTGTATAATACGAGGATATATTGTATTCATAAAGAATTCTCAATGAGAGTAAAATGGAGACAGAGAAGCTCCTGTGACTTTTTACTTGTTCTGTCCTGTCTTGAGAACTTAACACTTTTTGCACATGCATACTCAGCATTCTGTGTTTGATCTCCAAATGATTTCTAATAGAGTCCATAGTTTTGTTGTACTGAAAGATGAACTCTGTAGTCTGTAGCTCGGCATGTTCTATAGTCCAGATGCATGAACTCTTGAAGATTTTATATCAAGATAAAAGTCCAGTGTAGTTCAACTTTTGTATCTGCTCCTGAACGCCTTGTTTTGTAAATTGCTTTCTTGTAAAGTAGCACGCACTTCGACGACGTTGCCATCAGAGAATAATTTCAGACGTAATTATTTACCAAGTGTAAATGTGTGATGTTATTTTTGTGTTGAACAAATAATGCAACTGTTGAAATAATATGAATAGGTGTCATCAGATGGTTCTTTCCTTGTGTTGCTAATTTGCCATTGTCATAGTGCAAACTGTATTGAAATGCCATCACCATATATATTTTTTTATTTCTTTTCCTCACCCGCTTGGCAAAACAGAAGAAGAGTGTTCATTTCACACCTTAAAGGCTCTGTTTCCGTCACGTAAGTGAGCAACTGAGGATACCACGATTACACCCCCCCCCCCCTCGTCTAATGCAGATGACATGGGTACCCTTAGTTTCTGGTATGCAACATGTGTACTTTGTTTGATTTTCCTTCCTGTAGGTAGATGTGATAAGACTCTTCTTTGTTCCCCTAAAACACTGAGTGCTGTTTGTTTGGTAGGAGACAGAGAGCCCAGCCAATGCATTAGACAAGAAGTATGGTATCTTCAGTTGTTTCTCTTGAGTGTTGTACCTGACAATGTCCGTCTCCTGCAATAAGTCTCCTGCTGTAACTCATGGGAAGCTAAAAGGCCATTGTTGCACAGTTGATTGAGAATGTGGGATGTATTTAAGGCAAACGCCTCCAGCAGTTTGGCTTGTGTCAGTGCAGTGTGACCTGCTGCATCATAGCAAAGTATTAAAAGAATCCACAAACAATTCTATGCAAAAACCCAAAGAAAAGCATCAAGTGTTCATTTGGTTTCACACTTGTAGTGTTGAGCCTCTGGCCAGATTCAGCACCTTTTTTCTTGTTTAAAAAGAAGAAGAGTAAAAATGTTATGGATGTTGTGAAATCTAAAATGAACAAATCAGTAGGTGTTTTGGTTTTCAAATTAGTTCCACTTTTATGAATCAACGTGAATGTTTGAATTGATCAGATAGCAAAGTAACAGTTGTGGATTAAGAGTGAGACTATGCTGCTTTTGCTGAAACACTATACGGACGACCATGTTCTTCTTTTTAGCTTTAAGCTCAGGGGCAGATCCAGGGTTGAAATCTGATTGGCCCTCAAAGTGCCCCTGTCCTGTCACTAGTCTTTTTTTAATAAACTAGTCACTAACTAACAATACTAACTCTGACTAGTTCTTCAGATTTTTTGACGAACACAATGTACTTGGACAGAGATCACCCTGACTGAATCAGGAACTGTTCATGAATGTCGGACATGTAATAAATCGTGGCCCTTTCATGGCTCCTGATTTCGAAAGGTCCTAGATCCACCACTAGCTAAAATGCTAAGTTCTAATGTTAATATTGTTCTATGTTAATTTTGCTAACTCAGCAATATGAACCTGTTTGCTAATATCCGTAATGTTTAATGTGATGGAAGCTGCTGGTCATATTGGACCGCGTTGACTTCACACGTCTGAGTGAAGTGAAGGCAAAAGTTTTGTTTTCTCAAAAGTCCCATAGTCTCACTTTAAACTCAGCATAATAAATGATGCAGCAGAAGGATTTACATGTTCTGACGTGCAAATTATATTCACACAAATTGTACATAGAAATATAAGCTCATACAAACGTCATCGTTACCACCGGTCTTTCCAAAGTGCAATTTAAAGGAGCCTTTTAGCTCATGATTACAGAGAAGGAATAGTGACTCGTAGTTTCTCTGTAATCCAGTTGTATCAGTAAATATTTCTCTCTCTACATATTTATCTATACACACATTGAAGAAGACAGGAATGTGATTTAAATGTTCCCAAAATACAAATGTATCTGTTGATGTGAGGGGAGCTGCCCCGCCTTTGGTAGTCATTGTGGGGAAGTGTTGTCACCTTTCATTGATGTGGGAGTTAGTGGATGTCACGCTTCAGTTCTGTGTCGTAGCTTATTCGTAGCAGCTTCATTTAAAAAAAAGCACCTGACAGAGGGGAGGTGTGGGAGGAGGGAGGGTGAGTGTTGTCTGACTCCGTCCGGGGAGGTAGATGTCAGAGCTCTGGTGAACCTGCTGGGTCATAAAGAGGAGGGGAGTGGTGACTGAGGTGTGTGACGCTCGGCTATTTTAACACCCTCAACTGTCCCTTACGGGTCTCCCATTAGGTTCCATTGGACAAATCGGGTCCGCCCAGAAGAGCAGCCTCTCCCACAGCGCGTCCATGCGCCCTGGACTGGGGCCCGGCCGCCGTGGGGCCTCGCAGTCCCATCAGGGCCCCACTGGACATGTACTCCTCCAAAAAGAAAAAGGGACTGATCTCCAAAGGGAAGAAACTGTTGGGAAGACTTGGCGCTGTAAAATAATTTCTTGAGTGTCAAACACTCCTTCATAGTGTTTGCAGAGAAAAAAAAGAAAACTCATACCACCACAGTGGACAAGACAGGTTACATTTGTGAGCTGAGCAAATGCTTTATTCTTGTACATCAGTTGTATACTAGAATATTTGTATTTTGTTAACATCGATGCATCAATGACATATTTTCAACAACACATTTCATACTGTGGTCCTGAGACCTCGTGGTGTCAGCTCGTGCCGTCTCTGGCTGACGGCATGTTGCTGCAGACAGACGAGGCCCCGGGCGTCATCCAGTCTTCACTCAAGGGCTCGCTCTGGGCGTCCCGTTGTGTGTCCCATTGTGTGTCCCGTTGTGCGTAAAGTACCACAGGTCCACGTGCTTTTACTTCAGCACATTCCCTCCTGAGCCTGGGAAGGCGCATGTGGCGTGACGGGCTCAGAGCGGAACCTGGACAATAATGTGACATTTCCTGCCCACTCATCTTCTGCCCCCATCTCAGAAGGGAATAGCGTAGTGACCCCCCCCCCAACCCGAAAAAAAGAAATGTCAGACACCATGAAAACAAGCACACGTGTTCCTACTTCAGGGTCTCTGCAGTAAAATGAGCCTGGATGGAAATTCCTAGTGGATCCAACCTTAATGTATTTGCCTTATAATCGCACAATGTTTAGTAGTTTGTCCAGAAGAAGCTTAATGCTTCTATTTACAGGTGGATGACAAATTCAAGGAAACCCCTGCAAATGAGTTGAGAAACAATGTCCATCCATACCACACCAGGGGTCTTTTCAAGCCCACAGCCCAAACGATTTGGATTTTTTTGGGGCCTGTTGCCAAAATGAGGTTGTAAAAAGGTTTCAATGATATTGGCCGGTACATATTAATTTCAAAAGGCTTCATGTTCTACAGTTGAACAATAAACCTCAGCTATAAACAAAGAAAACAGACATACACAACTTCAACCAATTATATTGAATTTAAAAGTTTTTTATAAGTAAAATATCAACATACATCTTTCCTGCTGTTAATTCTGTAAAATAAGTTTTAATATCGTACAGAAACACAGATCCTGACGTCTGTGAGAGGCTCTGTGTGAAAACAACGGGATGTCACATGTTGTGGCCTTTGCAGTCACCAGATCTCAGTCTGGTAGATTTTGAGCTGCTTTCCACCGAGTTAACTGTTGGATGAGCAGTGTCAAAAGTTAAATACACTATATTTATATAAAGCTCTTATGACGACCAAGACCAAGTTTTACAGTCACGTTCACACACACTCATTCTGCCAACAGATTCTATTTGCAGCACTTTTATTTCTATCCAGCCACCAAGCTTTTAGTAGACGACTGTCTCGACCCCGAGCCACAGCCCCGCAGAGTCTTGTAATATCTATTCCTACATTTTTTACCCTTCGTCCTTAAATTTGGCACCGATACATTTGTTGTCATATTGTAACATCTGTCTCCAGCTGTTTATCCCGGACTGGGACATGCAGGGTACAGTGATTTCCACAGGGCCAGAGATTACACGTAACCATCCCATACAACATCCAGCATCCATAACTGAGCCCAGAAAAGAAAATGTTTTTATTCATTTAAAAAATCTTCCCTGGAAAATAAGTGAAAAACGAGTTCTGGGGCGGCTGATAAAAAGAAGGTTGTTGGCACCACACTTATTAAAAACAGTGACTACAAAGTAAACAATGTTCCATAAACAGTAAAAGACTAAATAGTAGCTGAAGTGATGTCTAACATCAGCTCATGACCCGTTGTACTGCACAGGAGACGGACCGGGTGACGTCTTTCAGTCGATCACAGTGAGACACAAGGCTACCTCCACCCCTCTGACCCCCCCTCTATTAGATCTGAAACGTTTAAGCCTGTCAGTCTGTCAACGATGCCTGTTCAGTGTCCCCAGTTCTGTTGGTGCAGGATACAAGTACTGTATATCAATCTACACCGTAGAGTAGTGAATGTATGATGAATTGAAAGCCAATGTATTTTCAAAGCTGCCCAAAAAACGATTGTGCAGATGTTCGTCTTTGTGCGTGAAATGAAACCGTCCAACTTTATCTCATCATATCGTTTTTTCCATTTCATCCTCACGTGTATTTTCAAATCGAGCCTATTTTTTCTATAACACACGAGTTGAAACTGAAACTGCCAAAAAAGAATGTATGCAAAACATTCTGATACTTTCTGTACTGATGATTTTCAGCCATGTTGACCTAAGGTAACCTGATGTACATGTTTTCCTATTGACGGACCTCGTCCTCAAGACATTGCTTCTGTTCATTTTGAGTGACTGTTGCTCTTTTTGTACTTTGTCCATTTGTAAAATTGTTTTTAAATGTTTATACTTGATTTTAAAACTGCCTTTTTTGTACATTTAACTTTATAATCAAACAGTGCAAGCTTTCCCCATGGTGTCTTTAAGACCATATTGTTTAAAGTCTGCAGTTGTGTGCTAGCTTTATGATAAGAATTATCAGCCTATATTGATGGTTACAAATTATCGTGTGGGTGTGCATGTGCAATCTTTTCTAAAAAAAAGTCTAAATAAATTTGATATTTTGTAAAGTTTGGCCGTCTCATTTAACTACAATTTAAAAAGCACAAATCACATAACACACAAACGTTTATTAGAACCAGCAGCAACAGAAATGAGTTTTAGGGCCTAGATTCTGTTACAACTCCAGCAGGTTTTTACTCTTAAATAATATTTTTATGAACATTTAAATTATCTGAGGCCAACATTAACAATACAACACAAATAAAGATTCTAGGTTCTTCCTAACAAATGCTATTTCTTTTTACTCAAAAGACAAAAGTTCACATCAAACTGTAGAGAATCTTCCAAATGTTTCGTGTATCACAAACAGCCTGGATTCATTTTGTCTTGTGTCACTTCATTCTGAACAGGGGAAGCTCACGAGTATTTTAGATGTTCAGACTTTTCACCTTTGTTATTACATCAGACCTGAGACCTGAGTGTGATACAAACCAGATACACAGAACTCAGAACTCGGCATCTTCAAAACTGAACTTGGAATATTTTCACCTGAAGAGAACTTTTGGAACCAAACTTGTCATTAGTGATGTTCTTCCCGAGGAAACCTCAGAGTCGAACACGTTGCTCCTCTTTGTGTCGTCACAGGTAGAAGAGGAGGTCGTCCAGGTGCATGTTGGGCTCCCGGTGGATGCTCTGTCCCACAAGGAAAGCCAGCTTGTGTGCGTACTGGCAGGGAGCGGGCACTTGGATGATTCCCTACAGCCCAAACAGGGGAAAAGGAACATATTCTATTGGGTTGCAAAAATCACAATGACTCTTCTCTGGAATCTACCATGATTTGGTTGGCTGGTGCCTGAGTATTTTTTCCAACATGAAGTGATTGGCTGGAGCCTTTGCTGCCGTATGTGACAGAATCACAACGCAGTTCAGCAGCTCATGACCTCATTCAAAGTGGCTGAGCATTGTTTGTGTTGAAGCCTCTAACGCATGTGTGTGAGTCGTGTGTTACTGTTACTCTCTTCAGGTGAAACAATAATAAACTTAATAATAAAGTATTTGTATATCATCTTTTACAACACAGGTACTTTAGAGTAAAGGAAGAATTAAAACAAGATAAAGTGTAAAGACCTAAAGATCAGAACTAGGGAGGAAGCACACATCTGAAAGAAAGAATTGGAGAATTCAGAGTTGGAGCCCAGACAGAAAAGGTCGGGTCACCTCTGGTCCTCAGCTGGGCAGGTCCTTCGCATAAGGCACTTAAAGAAAATCTTAAAAATCCATTCTAATATTCACTGGAAGCCAATGAAGAGAAGCTTAAATCAGAGAAATATCCTCAATGTGGACGCTGGTCAGTTATTCTCCAAACATATTCCATAACAGAAGAGAATCATTTTCAGTACAACTGCACTGCTGATCCTTGCAGACCCCATTCATTACAGCCATCCAGGATGAAATGTGTCAAAGAGTGATTTGAATGCCTACCTGCCAGTTGTAGTACATGTGGCACAGCTTGTAGGTGAGCCGCTGCATGTGATCAGGCTTCAGTCCGCTGGTGTCGTACACGACATTGTAGTGGGTTGGAGAGACGCTTCCTGTGCGAACATACTGGCTCACGATGAAGAAGTCGTACCTGACAAAGGTTGCAACGGTTCAGCACTAAATCCATCAATGAATAGATGAGAGGAAACAGTTCAGAAACATACCACTCAGGACGGGTGACATCTGTGTCGATGACGGTTCCGGGGGGAGGGTTGTTCACTTTGCCATCGAACTGGGCGAAGAACCTGCAGCTGATGCGCTTCTTCACCACCACCACACTCAGCTTGGGCCTAATGTCAACAAATTACAGGATGATTTAACCTTCATTTACTTCTTTTGCTGCTTCAATTCTTACTTGACCAGATTCAAAGCACAGTCCCTGTCAGTCCATCAAATTAGTTTTAGCAACAACTGTTTTCAATGTTGTTTACACATTATTTAGTGTCCTTAGAATAAAAAAGACAGAAAACTGAGAAAATTAGAAACTCACGAGTAGTCGTGCCCCATGGACTTGATGCAGTCAATGATCTGGGAGACCTCGTAGTTGACCACGGTCTCCAGCTGGCCGTCTCCCACTCCATCTCTGTACACAATGATGCGTGAGGGGAGGCAGTTGTTGAACTTCAGGTAGTCTTTCAGTGCACCTGTTAAACAAAGACAGAGTTACTCAGACTATAGACAGAGAATTGTTGTGTGTATTGAAATTGTAAATGAATGAAAGCAACTTGCCACTCAAGGCCATCTTCAGTCCGTCCATGATTTCCTGGCCTTTGTGCTGCAGCACACACTTTGAGAACCACCTGAAAGAAATGTCAACTTCACAACTTATTGGATGTACTACTGCACTATATTAAAGATAAGGGGTCACCAAAATACCCACATCCATGCAATGATCAAGGGGCTGTTAAACTCTGACCTGCTCATGCTCTGGTTGAGGCTGGCCACTAGAGCTCCAATGGACCTTTTCCCACCAATAGTGTCATGGTAACAGTCAATGCCCACAATCATCAGCTGTTTGAGCTGCACAGGAAATGAAACTATATTAGTAGAATACCAACATTCATCATTGTATTTGTAGAATCCAACTGTGACTCAAAAGCTGTAATGCAAACTAATTCATCTGCTGCTTTTTTCATTGTCTCATATAAGACGTTATGGAATCATTTCAATAACCTAGACTATGGAGAAACAATGGTATTGCATATGTGAAAGTAAAAACATGAAGCCTCCCAAGTGATGAAGATGAAATTCTGTTCTGCTGTGGGGACCACTGGAACTTTCTCTACTTATTGAAGCATTTGTGCTTTTGTTTATCTGTAGATAAACAAACCTAACAAACTCCCTGTTGATCCTCTTCTGTGTTTTGTTTCAATGTGAAACAATTGTACCATCATTCTTTATCTGCTCTAAAACAACTTTAATTTTCTTGATTGTATAATTTTACTGGTGATGTTGACTAACAGGGATTTCCACGCTCCACAGCTCTCCTCCCATCTTGCAAGCCAGCTGCAGGGCAATTTTGGTCGCCACAGTCATGAGTGTTTGATGTTTGCTGATGGTGCGGAACACCACGCACTGGCTGGGGACAGGGCAGTCCACACAAAGGAACTTCTTGACGGTGTCGTACTTGTCCTTCCTGTTGCTGGGGAGGATCACCACCACCTAACATGAAATATAGTTCAAGGTGACAATGCAAACATCCCGTTCATCAAGGAATGTCACAGTACCAACTAGATAAGAGGAAAAAGCTCAAACTAATGTAGGAGATCTGCTCGTGTTCAACTTATTCACATTGAGTCACTAACCATCTGTGTATGTTGATCAACATTCTGCTGCAGGGCTCTGAGGAGAGACTCCTGGTGATCCTGGTACTCAATCCTGTTTTTAACAAAACAAATGAAAATCAACTCAAAGGTAGGATTGGTGAGTTGTTTATGAAATACTTCTTTAGTTGAAATCCTTTTCAAGTTAAGATAACATCAATAAAGTCGTCTGAACCCCCTGGGATGTAACGGTTGCATTTTTCAAAGTGTAGCCTGCTCTTGTTAGCTTTTCCAAGATTACCAACACTAGCTTTAAGTGGGCAACAATACACTAGGTATCAAGTTAGCGTATAATTCAAATTTCAATTCAGAAGTATGTAGAAGCAGACTGTGTGAATGGTAACTATCTTGCTCCTACCCTCAGATCCTTGTTCTGATTTCTAAAATTAGTTAAATGCTGCTGTAACAAGAGCTGCTAAAACCATTTTCACTGTTTTAATGTCGGTGACAATGTTGAACATTGACAATAAAGGATTCTGATTACTTCCTCCCTGAATTTGTTGCACTTATATGGCACTAACGTGTAGCACTTTGTAGTTTGGCTTTTTTGAAGCAAATTGTACTTGATTGTTTCTTGTTGGTGTGGGTTTGTTCTGTCATGGTTGATGCACTTATTGTAAGTCGCTTTGGATAAAAGCGTCAGCTAAATGTAATGTAATGAAAAAACACCTACCTCTTTACCTGTATGGTACACGTTACATAATGCTAGAACTCACATGACAGGTCTCTGTATGCGAATTCCGAGTGGACCTGACACTTTGCTGAGGGTCTGCAGGAGGGACTGGGCCTCGTTACCATTGCGACGGGTGTATAAAATGAGCCAGTTGTTCAGTGGAGGGGCGTTGATCAGAGGTATCCCACGCATCTCTCTGGCCCAATCAGCAGCTGGAGGGACATACTAGGTAACACAAATAGTTTCAATCCCTCAATTACAATCATACAAATAGATCATTTTAATTTGTTTGCCAGAACAAATGTACGTAACCCCATGCATATTATACCGATCTTGATCCCTGGAAAATCCTCTCTACTGGGAGGACTCTGCCAGTCAGTCTTAGGAGTTCCTTATCGAAGCTGAGTCCCCACTTATCCAGCTCTGCCTGTGCATCCGGGTTCCTGTGAAATCATTTTCAGGTTTTTAATCAAAGCCTGGGATTAACTGCCTGAAGGAAAAATTGCTATTACAGCCTCTGTGCATATGAACAGACAAAATAAATTGAAAACAAATTGAAAGAATATGAGTTATTGATTTTAAATGGACAGAGAAACGTTAATGCGACTAAACATTTTACAAACTGCATTTGAAATATAACTTTACATCAGGATTAACCAACTTTACGATAACCGCGGGTTCATAGCGTCACGGTTTTATTACCATAAGAATTATAAAAACTACGATATCCAACTATGGTGTCTTGTTTCTCACGAGTCACGTAATGTGTGTGTGAGCCACTGACACGTTAGTTGAGAAGACTTAACAGCCTCATTTCCACCAACGCTGGCCAAAAAACTCCAGAGAAGTTCACAGCAAGAGGAGAAATCCTCGTTTACATTCGATTTCAGTCTTTCTCTCTTCCTCTCCCTATTAACCACTATAAATGTAGCAGAGTTTAATTCAATATATTTAGAGATAATAGTATAATAAGGACATGAAAAATGTGGCTTGAACCAGGACAATATGCCGGTTAATCATCAATTCTCTTCTAAAACAGAGTCACTTCTGTCGGTGACACTTCACAATAAAGGTCCCATGAAGATACACTGCTAATGATGACAGGAAACACAAATTCACTGACCAACCTTCCACAACAAGGCAACTATATAAAATAGTTGACATAAATTACTTTTAAATGGCCAAACGTTGATATATATATATATATATATTGCTTGTTGTGTGTCTTTTTCCTTCTATAGTATCGATAATCATGAAAAACTTGATATTTCGTCTGAGAATAATCGTGGCACCAAACTTTCATATCGTGACATCCCTACTTTAAACTTGATGCAAATGGGGAGTAATTAGGATTTTCAAGGCCTTTAAATCAAATCTATGTTACCTTGTGTTCATTAGACTATTCAGCAGGCTCTCTGTGAACTCTGACAATAAAAACAATTATTCTTTCTAATATTTGATGGTAGCATTAGGCTGCTATTGGTGCAATGAGCACCTTGTGCGGACAGATCTCAGATATTAATATTAACGGGTGCTTGCAATATTTCTGACAACAAAATGAGTACACAGATAAAACACAGTTCACGTGTTGATTATCACCTACTTCTGTATGTTAGAGACAAATCTGTTGAGGCGTCCCTGTCTCTGATCTGGGTTCAGTCTGGTGTGCCCACCCAAGTCCTTCATTATGACGAAGTCAGATCGCATCTTCTCAGTCAGCCCTGTCAAACACATCAACAAAAACAAACTTCACTTTAGTTTATCATAGAAGACAACTTAACAAACCAAGAACATTTGCTGCAATTAACAGACATCACCAACGCTTACAGTCGAGCCTCTGGGTCGACAGATTTGTGTTCTAAACAAGTGTGTAGCTGATAAAGTAGAATGGGCTTTTTATATTATACATTTAATCGAATTATTGTGCTCTGGATAGAGCAATAAATTGGCATCATGTCTGAAGTAATAGTCAAACCAAGGTTTCCCATTCTCTTTAAGAAATCCTTTTCCTGGAGTTTCTCCCGACAATTTAAGACAGCAATTGGTCTCCAACATATACACAAACATAATTTAACAGTAGGCCCAACATTGAAACATTAACCTAATTCATATTCCTCCATAAACCACAATTTTTATGAACAAGTGTCTCAATAACAGGTGATGGATACATCCTTCATGGTCAACTGTACTATAATCTGACCTCTTGGTAATGGTTTTTGATATTACTTGACTACTTGAATTGAAGCAGTTATCCAAACACTCTTACACAAAGGTAAGTTTAACTTTAAACTTGGACAAAAAAATAACAATGCTAAACCTCTATAACCTCACATAGCTTATTACTAATAGTGGGTTAAATTTCAAACAAATAGGCACTGTAGGCAATCTGTGCTGGGCCATAAAATAAGATAAAACAGGAACACGACAGATAAAAGTATTAACCTGTAAGGTAGCACAGCTCTGGGATGAGCATGATCCGACCAGGAGGCGGCGCTCCAGCAGGAACAATTCTCTTCACATCGCTGGCCAGCAGCACCTGGTTCCTATCAGTGATTTCCAGGTTATATTGCTAAGAACAAAAGTAGAAATATTTGAGAGCATACTGAAACAGGAGTAACAATATACACCACTCAGGTGAACTGCCTCTTAAAGGTATTGTCAGTGATTCCAATCCATTGCACTTTGTCAAAATCAGTAAATGCCTCTTTACGGTTCTCTTGCTCTCAGGTGTGTGTGTGAGATGCGTCTGCTTGACAGGTGTGTTACATAAGCTCTAAGGGCAGAAAAGCTGCGAGTATCAGTCTGCCGCTGGTGTGCTGGCTCTGGGAAACTGTCACGTCCTCTGCATGTTAGCCTCACAACAGCAAATTTAGCAACAATTTGCGAAGCCACAATTTTATGTAAATGTACAGCATGCAAAGAATTATACATTTTGTCAGCTCAGTACAATCATCTCTTTCAGTCAGAATTGTTTACTCTTCCTTTAAACGTTTGGGACAGATGTATCATTTCTTTTCTGATTCTAAAATTTGCAATAATAGATACCCCCCCCCATCCTTCTTACATGACCTTAAATGTAGAACCTGCGCTTGCATTTTCCCAGTTATACTTTTGTTGAGTGTATGACACCTACGTCCTTGTAGTACTTCATGAAGGTGGTTTCTTTGTCTCCCTTTGTGAATGTGTTGTTGGGAGTCTGATCCCATGCAATGTCGTCAACCCTGTAGGTTTTGTTGTTGTACCTAAACATTTTAAAAGATAAGGTGTCCATTGCAGGTAGTTCATAATGTTTTCAGGCTGTTTGGATGATAAACCAACTGTATTATAAACATTTACAATTTCATATGAATACAAATATTCATGTGCGAGACGTGGAGCCTACTTGGTGAGTACTATGAGTCCAACAAGCTCCTTCGTGCAGATCTCAGGGAAGCGATGATCTCCACACTTTTGCCTCAGGTTGACCATGAAGTCAAGGACTGTCTCACTACGAAGCACTTTGTGGCTCACGTCAGTACACATCATAATCGCTGACTCATACTCCAAGATGGTGGTTGTGTAGCCGGGCCAGATTGTCAGCCTGTTATAACAGACAGGATCAATACCTTTTATCTCTTATCTGATGAAAACGTTGTTTTCCATAAATGAATGTTACCCATCAGCAGTACACGAGTGAACAATTTTTCCAGATGTAACAGGCTACTATGACCTTTATCCTTCATCTATGATTCTAAGTGACAACTGATCAAAAGTTGAGGAAATTCGCTCAGGCTTCACATCCAAGAGGCCATAAACATGTTTCTTGAGGCCACCTTGACCTTGAACTTTGATCAGCAAATGTGAGCGAATGTGAGCCAAATTTTAAAGAATTTCCTTGAGATGTTCCTAAGATATTACATTCAAAAGGCAAAACATGTGTTTGAGAATTCACAGTGATCGTTGGCCACCACATTCTAATCAGGTCATCCATGAGTCAAAGTGAATTGTACGAGATGTAATGAAATTCCTTACGGGCAGTCCCAATATATCAAATTCACAGGAATGTTAGGTCACTGTGACCTTGACCTATTACCTCCAGGCACCAACATCTTTGACTTCAGTTCATTCTTTATTCCAAGTGAATTTTTAAGCCAAATTTGAAGAAATTCCTTTAAGGCATTTCAGTCAGACAACTCACTTTCAACTGTTTATTGCATTAGGACATAGTTTGTGTTTGGCTTCTAGGCTACGACTCTATTACTCCCCTCAATATGATTACACAGATATGATGAGATAGCCGAAAACATGACTCCTTAGCCCACTGGCTATCACCTGCATGGAGGCATAAAAATAAGTTTCTTCTTAATGTTGATGTTGAAAAAGACTGAACCTGCTGTGACCCTCTTGGTTTTTAATTAAGGTCTTTGCACACCAAGTCTTTTTTGTAAGTGTTTTTTTTTTTTTTTTTTTTTTTTTTTTTTTTTAAAAAAAAAATTTTTTAAATCAGTCAGCCAATGAAAACCGTCACACACAGAAACATTGCATAACGACTGATGCAATTTATTCTGGTTGTTCCAAAAATTTGCAGTAAAAGACAAATTGGAGTGGAGCAGTGAGGATGATTATGGTCCTATCACTACTTAAAAAGAGAGAAAGAAAACATTGGGTCCATGCAATCCTGAGAAGCCATCAGGAACAACGAGTATTTCATCTTCTGATCAAGGAGCTGCAAAATTAGCCCAAACGCTTCCAAGTATTTATCAGAATATCTGTAGTCCAGCTGCTAGCCAAACTTGATCCAAAAGTTAAAGAGAAAACACATTTCTGTGATCCAACTGATCCCAAACAGCGGCTGGCAGCATGTCTAAGATAAGTGTGCGCACACAACAACTGCCTCTGAGCACCATTGACAGATGTGATTGACACAACGTGAGGTCGCATTTATCTTTAAACGTGGTACTGTTTAAGAAAGAAATACAGACTGGGTGTGCAAAGACGATTTACATTAAATGCAGTGTGTGTGTGTGTGTGTATTAAAATGAATGGTATCATGAACTGGAAGAAAGTCATTATAAATGCATTATTTGCCATTACTTATTTGGGACATTTGATGATCACATAAAAGAGAAAAGGAGTTCTTTAATCTTAATTAGTAGTACCTGTGCTGTGGGATGTTGAGTGCATCTTTAGGGTTATAGTAGTTGCGTCCAATCTGCTGCATGTCGAGAATTCTCAAGATCCTGCAGAAATGGAATATCGATCAATAATCATGTTAGGAGGCTTCAACAGCCCAACAGGCTGCATCTAAGTATACATGTATACACTTCTGTAATAACATGTAACCAGGTTAACTAGTAACAACGAAATGCTAGTATTGAAAACTACAGGAAACTTGCCTTCTGAATAGGATGTTGTAAAACTGAATACACACAGGTGATGTGGGTGGCAGTTCATTTGTCAGCACGATAGTGATCTGAACCTTCTCCATATTATTTGTTACACTGTGCAGCACAGTCTCCTGCACACAAGGTTAGACATGTATTCCAAGTCAGAAAACTTCCATCACATTATCACTATTATTACTGTTGTGGTGAACTTGAGCTTGGAGTAGAATACCTTTTTGTGCAATCTGTGGGGCAGAAAAAGCAGAGCTCCATCAAAGCTCCTCGCTGAGCCTAGTGTTTCCTCATGGTGGTACAGGAGGGCAGATCTCAGACGACGAGACTCCATTGGTGGGTTGAAGTCCACGTGGTACTGATACAGAACCCACTGAGGGCGGGATATGATGCGAAAGAAGTTGGCTGTCAACTGAATGGCATGTCCACTTGAGCCTGAGGAGGTACAAACAAGTCTGAGATGGGACCCATCATCCTTTTTTTCAATTACAACATTTGCAATTGCTATAAGTGCTTTGGATATTTAACTTAGTAATGATGACTGACCAGACTTTGATTCCTTAACATGTTCCATAGCTTGTCTGGTGTTAATGCCTGCATCATGAAAATCCCGTCGACGTCCACCTCTCTCTCCCAGCTTCACCTGCTGAAATCCAGCTGATATCTGCAGAAGAGCTTATCACAAAAAATAACAAAATTCATACATGATGTTGAAAATCGAATTAGTAGTTTGCGCACAATAAAGTATTCAGGATACAATAGGCACAACATAACACAGCAGTGTAGGTGAGTACATACCCCACTATTCTGGCATGTGATTATTTACCAATATAATCTTTCTACATATATTTTATTCAATCCTATGATTTGTATCAAATTTGCAGTGCTGCTCCCCTTAACATGGTTAACTTGGCTCTTGGTTTGCAGAAGGTGATGGTGTGGAAAAAATGTTTATTCATTATTGCATTGTTCAATACCTTTCTATCACTTTGGCATTACTTTTAAAATTAAAGAACAGTTGAAACCATTACATAAGTAGAGCAAAGTAGTATAAAAGAGTGTGTTTGACTGTACTTTCTGTAGAGAACGGTCCCGGAGCACCTTTCTGCCTCCCTCTGCCAACCAGTTCTGCAGCAGGTGCTGGAGTGGATTCTACAGCCTTGCTCTACAAGAAAGTAAAATGTAGAGATATTGGAAATGTAGGGTTAACATTTTTTTCATTTTCTTTCCAAAGAAACTTTCTGTTCTGTAGTTCTTTTTACGTTTAGTGTGGATACGCTTTGTGTGCACCAAAGTTCACCCACCAAATAAAAGAATGTGTTTAGTCTTCACTTTGTAGCCCACTACAAGTTTCCATCAGTGGCTCTGTCTTTGGCTATTAACAACCTGTCTCATATTTTTTTACAGTGGGACTACGTGATGCACAATAATTAGGATGTTTAGTCACTGACAATGTTAACATCTCTTGAGCAGATGTAATATTTACCATTGTGAGCCAATTTGAGGTTTGAAAACAGAAAACTAGGTGCAACACTCTCCAGTCGTCGAGTCATCCGGTCATTTTTAAGAATTTCTATTTCTTTTATACAAAGTACCTCTTATGAGAATAATGAGGTCCATGGATCATCCTCCGTATTTGTGTTATCATTTTGTATTATGTGGATGATACAATGTCACTGATCAACACCATATTTCAAATTACATTAAACAAGAGTCATTAAGAACACAACAGGAGATTGTCAGGGTCAGAAGTGTTCAGAACAACAGAGGAATGACAGGGTGTCTGGGTAGAACATGTGTTTTGTTTATAGCACATGGAAACAAGCTCTTATCACCAGAAGCTTGACCTCTTCTACATGTCTGACTCCTCTTTTCCATCCTGAGATATATGAATTACTCCAGTTTGGCATCTCTCACATGTTAGAGATGTTATCAACACACCCACTTGCTCATATTGAACATTTAGGCTCAATCCTATATTTTACAAGGGGCGCTGGCAGACAACTAATAGAACCCAGATTTATATGTAAGTATCTTGATATTAACTCCTTAATATTTGAGTCACACAAAGATGGACGCCATAACAAAGTGTGTACGTTGTGTCCAGATGTGCAGTGGTGTCGTGCAGACAGCTCTCACCGCTCCTGGCGCCGCAGTCTCTTGACCGCGTGCCCGGCCTCTTGATCTTGCTCGTGCGCGGCCAGTCATTTTGGGACAGTTTCAAACTGTTCAACAAGAAAACATCATGGACGCTGCATTAAGAGCAATGAACTTTCAAAAACACTTATTTCAAATAGCTGGAAACTCAGACACATCATATAACGAGACTATGTATTGAACATGTTAAGAAATTGTAGCACAGGTACATCATACAGGTTTCTATCTTGGATCTAAGTGCAGGTTTAGAAGCGTCCTACCTGCTCCGACACAAAATGGCGCCTGCTGATTATCGTCACGCGCACCCCACCCTCGGCGCTAAACCAGCTAACGCTATCTTCAGCTAGCATGCTAACAGCTCCGAACACTGAGTCAAACCTAAAAAGTTTTTCCTCTTTCCGGATATGACACCGACTAATCACTCGTAGATAGTATTTCTGTGGCCTTCGCAGGGAACAGAGTTATAATACTGTTACGTCAATTTAACGGATGGGTTATCTTTCACATTAAGGAGGTGTGATTCGGATCAAATGTAAAAGAGGTTCACTCAGTGTTAAGAACAAACATATTTGGATATTAACGAAGTGACTCACCTCAGAAAAAGTTTGTTGAAAGACGAGGATAAAAGTTCTCCTCAGGTGAATCAACGTTCAAGAGGAAATTACTGCCCCTTCTGATAGCCAGGCCTCTTCACTGACCGAATGAATCCGCTTGTGAAGGGAAAAGAAATCTAACTTTCATTCAAGCCTCCCTCAGCTTGCAGGTTCGATCATTGTGTGTTACACGTCATGGTGTGAGAAACAGAGCATCTGATTAAGACATTAAAGAAAGAAAGGCTGTTGTGGCAGTTCATCAGAGAAGCCCATGAGAACTACTTTTTAAGCGCAGGGATCCTTTCTGACCTGGAGCTGCTGTGTGGTTTTTAACAGTACGATCTCATCAAGTGCCACTAGATGGCAGCACAGCTTACCCAGTAAATGTAGTGACTCGGTTCCCAACACTCCAGTGACTGATGAAGCTCACAGCTCTGACAACACTGAACCTGCAGCTGCTCCTACAATCCCACCGTGATCTTTTGTGATCAGTCAGACGATCAATCAATCAATCAAACTTTATTTTTACTGCACCTTTCATGCAGCTCACCAGTGTTCAAAGTTCCACAAAACTGACAGATGATAAGACAAAACAATTAAAAATGCTGAAGTTATAATAACAATATAATATAAACATGTAACAATAATAATAATTATAATAATAAGATGAAGAATAGACAGGTGAAATTAACATTTCAACCATGGATCAAATAAAATAATGTCTTTAAACCATACTTAAGCTGATACATGACATTTCTGGGGGCATGACTGTACTCATGCCACCTTGAAATAACAGCATACATCAGTCTTTATTTTATTTTCATGAGCAATCGTGTAAATATACAAAATATACATGTACACCACACAAGCTTCTCAGGTTGAAACAGCGAGTAAACAAAGTGGAGATGGATGTAACCTTTTACTGAAGCAATGGGGAAGAAATCAGTCTCAAGGGTATCAAATAGAAATAGTGTTCTTTCGTATTCTTAATAGTATTGACCGAGAGACCAAAATTAAATGATCGGTGAAGTATTATCTGCATACTCATGACCGTGTAATGGTGATGTATGCAATGAAGACATGAGGGCTCAAGCTGACTAACAAGGCCTTGTGTCTTGGAGTTGGTCATTCACGTTCTTATCAAGTTTAACTTATGACCATGATGAAAAAAACCAAAGACTGTGTTACGTGAATGCTTTGATGAGGTATAAAAAGCGAGGTACGTCATTGTGAGCTATTAATTCTTCCCAAACTTTCCCTCTCTTCCCCACATGCATTTGAAACAGAAGTTGACACCTCAGAGGGCATTTTTAGGAAGATGAACTCAAGTCTTTCATGTGTGAGATCTAAGAGTGATTACAGATTCAGACCTGAGGGACCAGTCTGGGAGGACCCGCTTCATTCGCTGTTTACCTGCTGCAAGGAAACTGTGGAAAGATGAAGAGAAAGGCTGGGACATCAGTGTCATCAGGCCTCATTATGGGGTAGAAAGAGAAAGTCTCACCCGAAGACAAAGATATCCACCATATGTGAGCAGTTACGAATATGACTTAACATTACACACACACACACAGTAATGTTATCTTTGCAAAATGCTGAACAATATGCATGCAACAGAAATAACTCATCTCTGGGAAAAAAGTGAAAAGTCTTCAAAAGACACATCATCTATTCAGAATAATACAGCAGAGGCCACTGAAAAAGAGGAAAAGTGAAAGAAAAAGACAGAAACGTGGCTGGTGAGAGAGCTGCAAGCTGAGCAGCGTGAGGATGAGAAAGGTGCACCCTGCCAGGGACGTTGATGAATGCGCTTCAGGCTTCAAGCTCGCCCTGCGGCCCCCCAGCGGCGTGGCTTCCACGCTTGCGCTAATCATGCTCCGTGAGACACCGCGGCCCGAAGCTGATGAAAGGAAACTCGCAGCACAGTTGGTATGTCAAACTGGCTCCAGTTTCACAAAATACACACCCCTCAGTCTGACGTTATTATCATCACAGCTGAGGATGCGTCATCATCACCACCACCATCCTCATCTTCATCTGCGCCATCGCTGTCAGGGACATGTTCTGTGTTGGTTGGTAGTTCAAGCTCACTTCCTGTTTGAAACAAGAAAAACAAAACAGGATCAAAGCTGCTGTTTTACATAAATCACAGTGGCCCCCGTGAAGCTCGAACCCCCGATTGTCAAATCAGAACAGGAGGGGATTGTGAATAATAAGGATCTACGGTGCCATGATATCAGTAAGCCAGTTAGGAAAATTAGATTATTCTCTCACCTGCCGTGGAACCTAATCTTCTCTGCACCAGTGTATTCCCTCTTAAAAAGACAGCAAGTGCTGCATCACACACAACTTGCACCATGGGTTTCCACAGCCCATGCAGGATCAGCAGTTGGTTTGACTGCACACAGTTTGTTGAATCTAAAACAAGCTGGTGTTTTATCTGTAGGCAGAAAAGACTGTAACAGTTTCAGGCTTTGTTAATGATGGCGCACAGTTGTTATGTTCATCACTAAAGGCTATAGCTTCCACCAGCAGTCCTGCAACAGAGGGAGAGGATCATACTCATGTAGATTCTGAAAGAGAAATAAATGAATGATTGGAAAAAAATTTTTTTTTTAAAAAGAGACGGTTTTCTGAACAAACATATCAACAATTTTCCTGTATTTATATATATTTTATTTAAATATATTAATAGGCCATAAATTGAACTCCATCTATATTGTATACAAAGAATAATATGATGAATGTAAGGTATTTAAATGACAGCCCCCTTTTCGGATATAAATTGAAGGGCAGATTTTGTGTAGCACAATGGCTCTTATGAACATTGTTGTTTTAAGCGAATGGTACTGTGCATATGAAATATAATTTAAAGTGACAGAGGTGATTACATCAGATTGCGCCAACACTTATGACAACTTATTTCAACAGATTCCATTCACTAAGGAGGAAAAACCTGGAAGTGGAACTTGATTTAAGATTTTATTTGTCCAAATTCTTTGTTCACCACCTTCTTCTCCAGTTTAAACTGGATATGTCATTTATTATATTAAGATTTTATTTATTTTGAAGTCCTGGTGAACATTTTTACCATATAATTCTTTTTAGTAATAAGTGGCTCAGTTTATTGTGCTGATTTCATAAATTTATTTATGAAAACAAATAACTCTATCAGTCTTTTTTTTTGTGTGGTTTTTGTTGTTTTCCATGTGGATTGCTAAAACTCAACATCAGCAAGTATCTGGCAGAGGATAGAAGTCAAATACTTGGGACTCTATCTGGCTCAGAACAGGGACCGAGCCAGAAATAGCTATACAAATAATCAACACACACACTATGGCCAAATTGCTATGTAGCCCACTCTAAATGAAACCAAAACAGTATCTGGGATCACAAAAGTCATCAGTGTAGCTTTCAAAGTACAGAAACTTTTTTTCACTTATTATACATTCCCTTATCCGCACTTCCTGCAAGCGTGAGCGTCAAGGACATGTCCCATTCAAGCACCATTTTGTTCTTACAGTGTTTGGCAAATACTGTTTCCTGTTCATTTGATAACAACACTCTGGCTGGTGTCCTTGACTTGCAAGAGATTATTCGTGCAAACAGAAAAAGGAAATAAAAAGATTTCAGTCAACAGTCATGGATTTGTCCACTGAAAACTGTTAATGAGAAAACTAAGATATGTTCTCAATCAATCCTTTGCCAGGAGTGGCAAGAAAGAATTTGACAAATTTCTAAGTTGTTGTGTTAGTTAATATGCTTGGTGTGTTCAAACACCAGCCCAAAGGCGGGCGTTAAAGGCAGCAGGAGGAGGAGGAGGCCTGTGCTGACCACAGCAGAGTCCTGCGGAGGCAGAGCCCCCTCTGAGCCAGCCTCACTGAAGATGCCATGTGATCTCTGAAAAGTCAACAAGGGTTGGTCCACAGCTGGGCTGCAGGAGAACACAGAGCGGGCACGTAGCAACACCCTCCTGCTGGGAGCAGCCGAGGAGACGGTGCCGATGGATCTACTGTAGGTTTTCGCTCTGTGCAACATGAGCGGACAGTGGGGAGCAATAATCCTCAAATTCAGTTTTATCATCACAGAAGCAACTGCTAATTTTCACACTCCTGTTAGTCAACCGTGTACCAGGGCACCACGCCGTCTGCTCCAAGCAAACTCCCAATACATCTCCACCGTGCCAGAGAGCTCCTGGACAATGGGAGGGATCCAGCCTTAATTTCCCCCCAAAGATTAAGTTGCCTTCTGCATCACTGAAACTTCTTGGGGTTTGAAGTTGAAGCCTTGGTGGTTATTCCTCTCTTTGTCCAAAGAAACGGTGTGAACAAAGGTGCAGTGAAGCATCGGCAGCAAAGAATCTAATAAGCACAATGTGGGAATAAAGCAGAGGGGAGTGAGCATCAAAGGGAGGCAGGCACAGCATGACTGGCGTTGGTCTGAACTCCCAACCTAGGACACTCAGCATGCTCTTCAGCAATCGCCCCCTTTAGACCAGTCCTGGGCAGTAATTAAAACCATCATTCCCACTGCCTCGGTATCTCATTAGCCACAGGACCCTAGGCTTTCATCCCTGCTTGTCCAAAAATATCACAACTCCACACCAGCGAAGATGAGTTCCTCACAACCAGAACACATCTCTGTGCCGAACAGAGAATTATCTATCTATCATCCAACTCCAAAAGAACAGTGGGAGATCTCACAGGCCTGTCTATTTGTGTCCACTGTAATTATTATTGCACCTATCAGAGATGGCTTGGAGGGAAACTGTCACCCTGCTGTTGGTTAATTAAATCTACCTGTGCTGCAAACAATGAACAAATACAGATATGAAAGAGCGGCCAAAACATAACTGATTTATTTTCCCTGCAGAGGAATGAAGCAGGAAAAGACTGCTTTTGCAAAATTGTATTTTCCGTTGCAAACATCAACTAGTGTTGGTGACTGAAACCCATTACAAAATGAGGACAAACTGATACATTTGAAGCTCCTACGCTTCCACTATCAAAGGCAGGATTTGAAGTGGGCGAGTATCAGTTGCAGTGGTCAGACTTAGCACATTTTGGCTGTAGATGAAAAGAAACTCTTCTTCCCATGTTTAATTCAGTATGAGCCATGACTAACTCATGTAATATACTGGGCCTCTGAAGTCAGTCGAAGGCTTCTACTCCGTTGCTTTGTGAACCGTTGACAGAAAGGAATGTGTCACTGTATTTTTTGGCGGTGATGTACCTCAGCACAGCGATGCAGGTCAGGAAAATGCGTTGGGTT